AGTGTGGGGGGGGGGGGATCATTCATGAGAATAATTTTCAGGCTAGTCTAATAAGTATTATTTTAGGCTTTCGGGTCTTATTAGGCGTGTGTTATTTATGTTTATAGGACTATGGCTTTTTTTGTTTTGTTTTGTTTTGTCTTCTCATTCTTAATTTAATTTAATTTATTTGTGATGCAGTTAATATATAATTTTAAAGTCTAATTTATATTTCTTTTGCTTTTTTTTTCTAATTATTGGGAAATTCTGAGAGTTAAATTTTATATCATATAATTTTATGTATTGTTGCTACTGTGAGCTACACCGATTTTAATTGCTTTTGTTAATCAATCCTTGCACCTTAGATTTACAGTTTTCTGTAATGTCAGTTTTGTTTTGTTTTTTATCTTACTGTATGTACCAGTTGTATTGTGATTTTTATGAAAGGCTAAATAAATAAAGAATGAATGAATAATAGGCTATTATAATACATTATTATACATACCCTTTTCCTTCTCAGTGTGAGAGCACACTGCTGTACCGTTTGAATCATGTGGATCTGGACCTATATCATCATCGAAGGCAGGAAATGCGGGAGGGTAGCCTGAACGAGTCGAACTCTCATTGGTTTCAAAAGCAACATTAAATATCCGATCTCCATGCAGACCTATTTGTAATATTTGATACCATATTTACAAAAACGAATAAGGTTTTGAAACTTGTGTCATCATGCTTAAGTTAATGTGTTTCTGATAATGATAATAATAATTTTAAAAATAATAATGACGTTAAAAATATCAATGAGATTTCATTCTAGTATATAATAATGTATCGGTACAAATCGATAACCAATCTATAACGTTTCAGTGATATTATGCTCGGCAACAAATACATTGAAAATGACAACATACCAAGAGGATCTTTATATTGTTTCTTAACATATTAATTCCTTTTACCAATCAAACTTTGGTAACATAGAGGTATATCAAGTTTGATAATAAAGAAATTAGGTGTATTATAAATCCTCGCAAAAAATATTAATTAGGTATAATAATAATAGTTCAATTATTTATTTCAGTCAAATTTAATAACATATCAACGTATAAATTAACTTGAGAATAATATATAAAATAGAAACATAACTGAAATGTACAGGCATTATATCATGGCTTAGTCCCTCAACGCAAACAGTTCCTTACCAGTAGTATGAAAAAAAAAATTAATCTAGTGAGATTCGCAATTAACTCTTTCTATATACTAAGAGTTGCAAAGTTACATTTACAGCCAAGAACACACCTGTTCACATAATTATATACAATCTCACATAGTAAGACGCATGTGACATCAGATTTTGTGCGTGGCACTTGTGAACATATCTTATAAATATAAATAAGAGGGAAATAATAGAAACATTGCTCAATTGTAGGAACAATGCCCATATATATATATATATATACACACACACGCGCGCAACCCACCTACACACACACACATCGTGAAGTACTCACTTTGCGATGTGTACTTGTCCATTGTAGCTGAAGTTGGTCCGTTCATCGTTGTGGTACTACCGGTACTGTCTCTTATACACATCTAGATGTGTATAAGAGACAGGGTTCGCTCCTTGTTCATTTAGATACAGAATTATACCCCGACGACAACAAAGTGTAGGCCTAAGTACAGTAGGACGTACTACAATAATAATTAATAGAAAAAAGAATTCTTTAAAACTTAAACTGTAAAAGAGTAAATATGCAATTAAATAAAATGTAACGGGGAAAGATTCAAGGTTAAAAGCAGTCAGATTAAGATTATTTTTACAAGCATTTTTAAAATTTCTCAGATAATTACAATCATTAACATCGTTTTCGAAGACCGTCCTATTCTTTATAACAGATAGGCCTATAATAAAATTAAAAATAGATAGATAAAGCCCTCAACCTAATCAAGATAGCCGTATACACTGTTAAATTATATATCGATCATCAAATAAAGGTAAATACAGAGTTCGAATACGAACACTGTATTTGTCTTTATTTGATGATTTATATATAATTTAACAGTGTTAACGGCTCTCTTGATTTTCATTATATGCAATTATTTGTATCTAGCCGTACCTATTGTGTTAATAGAGTGTATCTGGTGGTATTTGAAATATTTATTTGTTTGGTTCCAATAAACATACATACAGATAAAATAAAGTTATAAAAGATGCAGGAACAAAAACAAATATTAAAACAGAGATAAAAGCATCTACAAACAGGAGAAAAATTTGGATACGATAAAATTTAAAACTAGAACAAAATACATGGAAAACAGCGAAACCAAAGATAGCCCACAAGAGATGTAAATAAATCTTATTTCAAGAGAGGTCCTTATAAAAAAAAATAATAATGATTATTATTATTATTATTATTTATTAATAATAAATAATAATTAATAGAAAAAAGAATTCTTTAAAACTTAAACTGTAAAAGAGTAAATATGCAATTAAATAAAATGTAACGGGGAAAGATTCAAGGTTAAAAGCAGTCAGATTAAGATTATTTTTACAAGCATGTTTAAAATTTCTCAGATAATTACAATCATTAACATCGTTTTCGAAGACCGTCCTATTCTTTATAACAGATAGGCCTATAATAAAATTAAAAATAGATAGATAAAGCCCTCAACCTAAAGTTCCATATGAAGGGCTAGACTTGATACGATTATAACATCATTTTCCTATTCGAGCACTGCTATTATTATTTTTTATCTATTTCTTTATATTGTGTTTAAAAAAATTGAAGCTTTAATTTTTAAATTCCTCTGGAATGGTAAAACCGAAAAACAATAACTAAAAACTTAGATTATTTATATGGTATAGAAATGTCTGATATTCGTACACAAGCTCAGGCGTTACAAACATGATGGAAATGTAAACTAACTCAAATCATGGAGGTAAATAGAGGTTAATTTCAATGTATTATTTGCAAAACGTTTGTTTGCTTGACGTTGTTAAGCAAATTACCAATGTTGTTGATATTGACAACAACAATATACTATGTACCCTTCCGTCATTTTACGATAGATGTGTTCTTGTCACTCTAAAAACTCGTAGTGTAGTCATGAAACAATGTTTATGGGGTAATCAGCACATCGTTAAAAAAAACAAATCCCTTGCATTTGAAAAATGGTGTGGTGCGGGTATCAATTATGTAAAAGATATTGTTTTAGATGGTGTCTTTGCCCCAGCAGGCGTAATTCGTAATAAATTAAATAATCCTACAACATATTGCAGAATATTTGATGTTAATAAATGCATTACCACCAGAATGGAAACATATTATATCAGATCAAATAATAATCAATAACAATAAAAATATACACCCCAAATCGAAAGAAATATAATTATATCGTTGGACCAAAACCTTTGTTCCCCATTGGATCACAAATACAATGGGAACAATAAATTGCTGAGAGTGCTTTTGACTGGAATGCAATGCAAACTTGGCATTTATTATTACTGTAATAGTGACGATAATAATGATTATTATTACTAATGTTATTATTATTATTATTAATATTAGTATTATTACTGTTATTATTATCATAATTATTGTTATTATTATTATTAGTATCGTTATTATTGTCATTGTTTTAAAGTTTGAATGGCGAAGTAATATTTCTTTGAAGAACTCTTTACGTGGTGTACCTAAATCAATAAATATATTATCATTATTGTTATTACCGATTACCATTACTGTTGTTAAGGCCTACAATTACCATAATTTCCACTATGACATTTATTATTATGTTGTAACATGTATAATGCATGTACAATGTATAATGTAAGAATGGAAAAAAAAGAAGTACGAAATAAATATGGGTACAGTATGATCCCCACAAAAGTGAAAAATTATATATTGTGTTTACGGTGCTACGCAGCAAATCTAATTTAATTATCATATATGTATACAGTAAAATATATGATACGAAAGTATATATATATATATATATAAAACAAAAACTCCGGAGAGATGGTAATAAGTTGCCAGATATATAATTTTATTCAAGTGCGCAAACGTTTTCGGTTATCAACCTTTGTCAAGCTAAAGAAAAATATGAGAATAGCAAAATATATAGCATATGGAAGGCTCAAAACATGGTTCCACAGAACAGAATGCACCAATAGGTGAGCAGAACAAACATCTAGATGTGTATAAGAGACAGCTTCAGGAGAGGTGTCTAGTATTGCCAAATATAATTTATTGAGTACACGAACGTTTTCGGGCATCGCCCTTCATCAGGTATACATACAGATAAATATGAATACGAGAATATATATTATATTATTATTATATTTTTATTTTTTGGCGCCATATTTTATAGCACCTCTCAACTCTGATTAGTTGGCTTTTTTCACTACGCCCTTAAGGTATTATTTAGCTTGTATATCAACGCTTTCCCATGATGCTGCATACTACGCCAGGATCCAGAATTTGAAATAGGTGGTTCATTTTCCCATAAACCCAAAAATGAAAGGGAGGTCCTCCCCCGGGAAAATTTTGATTCCTAGATGGCCGGAAATAGCTTTCCCGACTTCTGAGGTGTCTTTTAATGACCTTTAATTTCTTCAAAATTCAAGGTTTTACCCCTCTTAAAAAAAGGGTCTGGTGATCTCATTCTTAGGCCTATACCATAGAAAATAAATCAAAAATATAGTCAATATATACCAAATCTCACGCATCCGGCGTGAACCTCACGCTTTGCGAACAAACCTCAAGCTCTCAAGCCATTCCTCTAAACTCACACACTTTTCCACTAATATTAAACTTTATTTGATTAAACCCAAACTTTTTATCGAATACTTTAATGCTTCACAATTCTATATTTTATCAGGCCAAGATCATCGAAAATTCTATCGTTCCTGTTATAGCTACACATTTTTTAGGTTTAATTTCAGCACTAGAGATATTCAGAGTGCACCAGAGAGCATCTAAGCCCAACATTTTCGTGGCCCTTGACGGGCCCTCGATTCACGTCAATTGGGTTTATTTCCTGTTAAATCTCAAGTCTCTAGCTACCTCCAACTTGGCATGTATTCTATATTCTAACATTATTAAGTAGTTGGATACGTAGTCTTTCTTCGATAGATCGATGAACTGATAGGCCTGAAGAACACACTTTGGTACATAAATTATTACGACGTCGAGCCAAAAAAGTGTTTTTGTATTTCATTAAATGCTAGTTGGGCTAAGCCTATTTTGTCCGATCTGCCAACCTATGCCTAGGTAGGTTACATAGTTACCAACCTGAAATAATTGAAATGCGTGATTTGAAACGCGGGGCGGCGGCCAGCAGAGCCCTCGCCGGGGCCCCGGTGTGGGTTCTGGGGGACGATACCCGCTGGGCGTTCTGACAATCTGAGCATTTTTAAGCTGTTTTTAGGGAGTGTTTATTGACAATATCAGGTGCATAAACAAAAATATTTTTAATAGAGCCACGTACAATTCGAGTTTCAATGTATGTTTAATTTGAGCACCCGAATGTACACAAACATTCATTACTCAAACAAACAGAAAATGAATAGGCTGTGGTGGTGAATCTTTCCTATCATTCGACACTCTTTCCTCCCTCCTGTTATACTCATACACCCCTGATTCTTAATTAATTGATATAGTGCCTCCGATTTTTTGCTTCATAGTCTAAGAAGGATTCACTTAATTTTTCCTAGAAGGCTTGATCCCCTAATGTTGGTTGGCTGTCAAAGTCCCCGAACTCTCTCAAAAAAAACCACAAACAGATCAATTTCAACTCATCTAGCACACGAACCAAATTTTGTCAGAACAAAACTATGAGTGTACAGCAAAGACCTAAATCTTACATGATATCATGTTGAGGGTGTGATGTAAGACTCCTACGTTCCTATCTTAATACCCTGGCAAAACCTTCCTATATAACAATAGAAAATTCACCCCTTGTAGCACATGGACCGACTTCTTTTCCTACAAAGTACTATCAGTGTACATAATAAAAAAAAATAATTCTAAATTAAATCCTACACGATATCAGGTTGGGAATGTGATGTAAGACCCCCTGCAACTTTCCCCACCCCTATTCCTATTCTAAATGCATTGACACACTTCTTTAAAGTAAAGTATTATGATAGTAGAGGAAAGAAAATCTGGTATGTTTACACTGGTTTGCAGACATTCAAGTTTTACTTTTACCTCCTCAATGCTCTACCCCGCCCATTCTGCCAACCCCAGTAATGTCACTACCATATAATATTATTCATTGACCAAATATCCTAAAAGCCCATTACTTTGACAGCAAGAAAAAACAGAAAAGGACATTTCACACTGACAAATATACCTTAGATAATAAACTGGGTAGGGGATATCTCAATTAATTATATGAACAGAGATGACATTTTTTTTTTCTTATAGAAAAACTAAACACATTAACTTTTAGAACATTTGTATTTACACGTCCCATCTGAAGCATCAGTAAATATCGCAATAAAGATGATGGAATACACCGTATACACAGCTGTGTACATAATGTCCCTCATATTTTTCTGGATGT